ATACACACATGCAAAGCTTTGACTCACTTATTGAAATCTGCCACGCAAGAGGACGTCCTCTTGACAAATCTGCACCTGTGTGCTTGGGGTTTGGGCCTCACCGTGAACTCAGGATTGTTTTTTTTTTGGAGGCGACTAGGTTTTAGGGTAAGGGTTGCCAGATTTTTCAAGCAGTGTACTGTGGTTGTACTGTGGGGTTTTTGCGAGGTGAAGTGGAATCATTCCTGGTTTTTGAGGTGGAGGGGATGCGTTTTGTGGCCAGGAATGAGCGAGAGGTGATTGTCGAAGCCCGAGTGCCCACACCCTCCACCCCCCCAGCCTTAACGGTGTCTAGCTCTAAGCATCAGGATCGATTTTGAGCTACTTCCAGAAAGCATACATACAGCAGTGCGAGTGGTCTCACAAGATCTGTGAGGGAAACGACCGAAGGGCAATGCAGAGCCTGGTTTCTGATCTTCGCGTTCATAGGTTTTTGGGTCACAGTCCCATGCCCCCGGTGCAGAGCTCTTTGTGACGAGAAGAATTCGTGTTCCTGCTTTCGAAGTCGTGGACCAAGATGACACGCCTTGTGCCATAGACTGCCCGAGGCGACTTTTGCACGGTGGGCGACCTTGTAAATAACATCGACGCGGCTGTGAAGCTGGTGGGGGAGGACTGGGCCCACAGCGCATGTCGTAAATCACCTAAGCCAGCAGCTCAGAAAAAGCCTTGAAGCCCAACCCTAAACCCTAAACCCTAAACCAAAAACCCAAAGCCCTACACCCTAAACCCTAAACCCGCGAAGCAAGCCCTGAACCTCAACCCAGCCTTGCCTGGGTTCTTGTTCAGGGGTTTATTTAAGTTACCACTGTAGGGACCTATAGTAGATAATGTGGTTTTTTGGGTTTATAGGGTTTAGGGTTTAGGGTTTAGTAGATAATGTGGTATCTTTAGTATGGTAACTTGAATTGAATCCCTTAACAAGAACTCAGTTTTGCCCCCCCTCCCCCCCCACACCACTCGTTCACGGCCTTCCCCCAGTTTAGGGCAGGTCTACTGCTGTTCACTGTTTGCCACTTGCTGAGTGCTAGCAGGGTTTGCAAGGCAAGTAGCTGCATTCGATGCCCTAAACCCTAAACCCTAAACCCCGCGGTTTGCCAACGAAGAGTGTGGAGGCGCAGTTTACTCGGACCCGCAGCCCCGACGTCCTAGGTAGCGTCAGGGAGACCCCTTAAAGGAGAATTTAGGGTCTCAGGGTTTAGGGGTTTAGGGGTTTAGGGTTTAGGGGTTTAGGGTTTAGGGTTTAGGGGTTTAGGGAAAGGAGACCCTTCTGAACCCTACTTCTGTCTCTCTTCAAAGAAACCATATTGAGAGGATATATATATATATATATATATATATATATCCCCAAGCGTCCCCCAAATCCTAAACCCTAAACCCTAAACCCAAACCCTAAACCCTAAACCCTAACTCCTACAAATCCCAGGCTTTTTTCCTGCAGATCCGGAGACCATGAAGTCCCGTGAAAATGCCTCAAGCTCCAAAACCGGTGACTAAGGTTTTAGGGGTTTAGGGTTTAGGGTTTAGGGTTTACGGGTTTAGGGTTTAGGGTTTAGGGTCTAGGGGTTTAGGGTTTAGGGTCTATTCGAAATTCTGATCCCCGAAGCCCTTCCAGACCCCTCTGCAAGCACCATCCCCAAGACCCTCAACCACTGAACTCCACATCTGCGAAACTCGGAAGCCCCGAGACATTAAGATCATCAGCTTGAGGATCATGTGGGATTCGGCTCCGACTTCCTTATGGCAGCCTCGTTGGAGGAGGCAGTAGTGGGTTTAGGGTCTGGGGTTTAGGGTTTAGGGTGTAGGGAGTAGGGTTGGTAGGGTTGCGGGCATGAAGCTCCGACGATTGTGGGTCAAAGCAGGAACGATGACCCTTAGAGTCCGTTTGAAACGGCTTTGGAGCTACCCTCGTTCGCGCAGTCTCATAATCTCATGACTTCTGGCTTGGGGTTCACCCTAAACCCTACACCCTAAACCCTGAAGGCTTGGAGCACCGCTGCAGACCCCAACAGGGCCCTCAAATAAAAAACCCTGAACCCTAAACCCTAAACCCGACAAGCAAAAACCCTGAACCCTAAACCCCAAACCCCAAACCCTAAACCCTAAACCCTAAACCCTAAACCCTAACGGGCTTTGCGCTTTGGGCGTTGTGTGTTTCGGAGACAGTCTGTCAGACCTGGGTCTCGGAACCTTGGGCCCTAAAGCGGTTTAGGGTTTAGGGTTTAGGGTTTAGGGCGGTTTTACACGAATGCAACTTCAGGGGTACTGTGGATGATATAAAGCCTGCATTACCTTAAGGACCTTAAACTATGGGAATTATGGTAGATGCCTTAGTATGGGTAATGCAGGCTTCATATCATCAACCGTGTTGTTCTAGAACTTTCGAACTTTCATTCTGGAGTGGAGTTTATGGACACACCCACCTCGCTCACCCGCAAAGCCCGAACAAAAAGCTGGGGCGGTTTGGCAACCCTAAACCCTAAACCCTAAAAACTAAACGGTTTAGGTTTTAGGGTTTAGGGTTTGACCCTAGGGCTTTACGCCCGGGACCTTCAAAATCCGAGAGCTTGAAGCCCAAAGCCCGAAACCCTTAACCCGGAGCCTCACACCCGAAGCCCTCAGCCCTAAACCCTAAACCCTAAACCCTAAACCTCAACCCTAAACCCTAAACCCTAAACCCTAAACCCTAAACCCCAAGCCCTAAACCAAATTCTGCAACCTGACAAGCTCCACAAGCAGCACTGCTCTGCAGACCCTCACGGCGCCGGAATGGGACGCACAAAGGCAGCCTGGGCTGCAGCCCTAAACCCTACACCCTAAATCCTAAACCCTAAACCCCGAAACCCCAAACCCCAAACCCCAAAACAGTCCTTCTGAAGAGGAGGGTGGGGTGTTGCAGCGTACACTTTCGGGTGAGGGCGAGAAGAGCCCTAAACCCAAACCCTAAACCCTTAGAGCCCCTAAAACCCTAACCCCAAGCCTGCTCGCGGCTTGCTGCAGCCTTTGCTTCGGAAGACACCTCCGAAGAAAGGTAGGTTTTTGAGGTTTAGGGTTTGGGGTTTAGGGTTTAGGGTTTCGGAGTTTGGGGTTAAAGGTTGCAGGATCTAAAGGTTGACGGTGTAAACTATTGTCCACCGGGCTCGCACCTCCTTCCAGTGCCCCGGGATAAGTTGATCTACGGGGCTCCCTTATCATAGTCCCTGAATATACTTCCTATATACATTCAACCCCCACTTCATTATTGAGGCCCCCATGCAGCACGTTATGAACTCCAATAAAGATTCTCAGAACCTGCTCTAAGAAGGCCCCTCAAGGCGGCCCTATAGAAACCTTTGAAGGAACCCTGAAAGGAGCCCGTACAGGAACCCTCAAGAGGAATTCAAAGGAACCCTTACAGCAACCCTTAAAGGAGCCCTTGAAGGAATCCTTTAAGGAGCCCTTATAGGAGATTACATCTTCTGTCGCCAAGGCAGCAAGAGGTTTGCGTCAGCGGCGCGATTTGGCCGTTCTCCGACACCTCGCTTGCCATAGAAAGGGGCTGTTGCTGTTTGGGGGTTGTGGGGCAAGGTGTTTCCTAAACCCTAAACTATATTTAACGGTTCAGGAATTCAGGCGTTGGGGCCTGGGGATTTTGCAAGAGGTTTTAAATTAAAAGGTTTGGGGCTTATGCCTGACGGTTTAGGGTTGAAGGCAAGCGAGTTCCTGGGGATTGCACAAAGTTCGCGAAAGAAGCTCGCAAACCGAACATCCTGCAACTCGGAGCTCGAACGACCCTGAACCTGGAACCCAAAGACCTACACCAACACAAAACGTGCACAAGATGGAACGTAGTGTATCGAGACTAGGGTGGTGGGGTATAACTCCATAAAAAAGTGGAGTAGCATAGGGACTTTTAAGGGGATACGATTACTAGTTATTGGTCAGGCTTAGATTCGAGCATAGTTTCTTTTGTATTTCGGGGTTGCGGAACCCGAATCTGGAGTCCCATTGAGGGTTTACGGCTTCGGGTTTATTTACCTTATTCTCATCACCTAAGGCTATTGTGAACCCCTCATTGAAGCGGCTCCCACACAACACCCTGGGACTGTGTGAGAGACTTAGTCTAGGATTCAGGGTTAAGATTTAGACTTTAGGTTTCAGGATTTTGGAGTCAGTTAGGGTTTAGGGTGTAGGGTTTAGGGTTCTAAGGCCATTGTGATTGCGTGCCCCAATCGGCTGAGGATGGCCACAAGGGCTACGAGAACAATGCCGGCTACAGGAATGTGACCCGAGGGCTCGTTGCAAAGGGCTACTCGGACGATGCTGTTCGGAATGTGATGGGCGGCAACTTCCTGCGTGTCTTCCGGGATGTCGTGGGCTGAGAGCTGGGTGGCCCGCACCCCCTAAACCCTAAAGCCCAAACCCCCAAGCCCATCGGTACCAGCTCAAGACCAAGCCGTACGAAAAGCCTGCCATCGTAAGCTCTCAGCCACGGTCAGGCCCGTTTCAGGTGCCCCTCCGAACACGGCGATGCCAAAAGGAACGCAGAGAAAGCCCAGTGTTTGACTGAGGGCTTAGGGCTGTGGGCTTCATGTTTAGGGTTTTCGGGCTTAGGGTGCAGGTTTGGGGTTGTATGGGCAGAGTGCAGGTCTTAAGGTTTGGGGTTTCATGCCGTTGGGCAGCTGCGCGTGCAGAGGTCGGGTGCACAGCTGACTTTTCGGAGGGAAGGGTGCCCGTACAGTTCCCCGGCGCGCAGCTGCCGGACAAAGTGGAAAGCCCGAGGCAACCCTAAACCCTAAACCCTAAACCGCAGCACTCCAAACTCGTTTCCAACAGGCCATAATCCCCTGGACCGGAGCCGGCAGCGGTAGCATGTGGAACCCCCAAAGCCACCCTAAACTCTAAACATTGACCTGAACCCCTTACCCTAGACAGTACACCCCTAAGCCGCAGCATCTTTCCAGGGGGTTCTGTGACGGCAGGTCGATGAGATTCTGGCCACAATCCGCCACGACATCACTGCCGTGGAGACCAATCTTCAGGACCTCCATCAGCTCTGAAGGGTGCGTGCAACAAGACGCTGCGCACTCCCGGTGTGAGTTGATATGTTCGTCAGCAAGACAATGCGTGCTGAATGTGGTGGAAGTTTGCTCCTAGACCCGAAACCCTGCCCAACATGGGCTTTGGAGCGCACGCGGCGAAAAAGGCCCTTTAAAAGACACCCCAAACCCTAAACCCTCTAGAAGGGCATCCTGAAGCCTAGGCCATTAGGGGCCTTAATACTTACCTATACAATTTTGGGGGGTTCTTATTATAGCTTTAGCATAATCGGACCCGCAAACCGTATTCTAATTATTAAGGGCCTAGGCTTGAAAGAGAACTCGATTCCGACTGCCATTGGATGCTTAGGGAAGGCTTAAACTTTAGGCTTTAGGGTTTAGGGTTTAGGGTTCAGGGTTCAGGGTTTAAGGTTTGGGGTTCAGGGTTTAGGGTTCAGGGTTTAGGGTTTAGGGTTTGGGGTTTTAGGGCTTAGGGCTTAGGGTAAAGTAAAGGCTTTGAGGCTAGAGCTAGGGTTGGGGTTCAGAGCAATGAGGTCATTTCAGTGTCTGTTGGGTCAGGGTTTGGCACGAAGAGTTTGCAGGGCTTTGGTTGGCAGAGTTTCTCCCAAACTCGATGCCCCCTGCCCCGCGTGCAAGATCAGCACACCTAGACTACGGGTAGATATATGCATTCGTATGCTTGCCTGTATAAGACCATTCGTAACTCCTTCAGGTCTACCGGTAGACCACCAACCCCAGATTCCTGCTCCGAAACTCTGAACCCCTACATCCTACAACCTTCAACGCTAACCCTCAACCCTCAACCCTAAACCCTGAACCCTTATATAAAATCCTAAAACCCTCAACCCGCAAGCCTCCAACTTGAAACTGCAGGTGTGATTCGGGATGAGGGCATCCCGTATGCTTTGCTTTGCTTGGGGACTTGAGGTTTCATGCCTGATCGCTTGTGCTACCCTTCCCAGCTCTTCCTGCGCAGCTTGTTCCTTGAGGGCTCAGAGTGTTCTCCCACGCGCCGTGCAGAAATCCTTGCAGAGCCTTGGGTGATCATGGGTTCCGAAATGGAGGCTGGGGTGCCTAAACCCACATCTCCGACACCCCAAACCCCCTGAACCCTAAACTTCAACCCCAAACCCTAAACCCTACACCCAGACGAAAAGGCCACTGCACTTTAAAACAGCCTTACACCCTACACCCTAAGTGATAGCACATGTATATGTATGTATGTATGT